GAGAGAGAGAGAGAGAGAGAGAGAGAGAGAGAGAGAGAGAGAGAGAGAGAGAGAGAGAGAGAGAGAGAGGGCACGGTTCCAGAAAAAACCACTCTCAGACCAGGAGACCAAGTGCTGCATCAAACAGGGCAAAGAACATGCAATTCGGGTCGGTTCGAGGCGAAAGGCCAAAGCCGGGAAAGGATCAAGAAGTCTGATGAGGTGGTTCAGGAAATTGGCTTACATCGCTGCAAGAGGAAACCTAGGGATCTCGCGATGGATTCTGGAATTGAATAACCCAGGGGAATGAGCTGTAGCGTGTTGTGCTTTGGTGGAACTGTGGACTTCTGCAGCATTAAGGGCTAGCCAGTAGGCGTAGTCATAGGTAGCACAGCCTCAACCAAGACACTCGGCGCTGCAAGGTCGTGGCAGGCGGGTAGTTGAGAGGCTAGAGGATCTGGGCCGAGCCACATGTCCCTGGGCCGTGTTTGCCGCTGGCTATTAGTCCCAAATAGCGGCAAAAGAGGAAAAAGAGTTCACGATTTCAATTCAAAAACTCGGCCTACCTGGGTGACTGCAGGACTGACGGGGTGCCACCGTGAAACGGTGCAGGTTTCTCTCCACAAATCCCTCCTGTCCAAAACAAGAGCGAGGGCCTCGCTGCACTACTCTCGACATGCACAACAGACAAAACTCATGGCGGTGTATCTTTCCATATTCTAGCGGAAGATTCACTCTCGTTTTGTGCATTTCGAGAGTAGTGCAGCGATGCCCCGAATCATCCCGTGGCCTACTTTTGGCATGGGCAAAAAAAGAGTGAATCTTCCGCTAGAACATGGAAAGATACACCGGCATGAGGTTTGTGTACTGTGCATGTCGAGGCCTGAAACGTTGTGGCACCCGCAGCCACGGCGGGATGTCAGACAAAGTAGCAAACGCAAAGGGCCTCGCTCCACTACTCACCATCTGAGCAAAACCAGCGGGCCGCCACTTTGAAATGCTTTTTTTTTTTAGAAGCATTTTTTTTTTTTTTTTTTTAATATTATTATTATTACTTTTTTAAATGCTTCTCAAAAAAAAAAAAAAAAAAGAACCCTTCCTTTTTCTACGGGTGCTGTACACACTGGCACGTTTCAGACCCCTCCACAGGTCGTGGCAGTCCCTGCTACCGGTAGGTCAGCCGCCTATTCCAAAAATTGCCCTACCGGTCCCCCCTACTTTAGGCTGTGGGGGGGAGCGGTGGTTTAAAGCACAAGTACAGCGATCCCTTCTGCAAATATCGAGCGAGAGAGATCAGGAGAGCAGAAAGCGGGAGAGCGTGAATTTCAAAGCAAGAAAGCGGGAAGAGCGGGAGATTGAGAGCGAGAGCGAGAGGGAGCGGGAGGGGGAAAGCGCGCGAGCGAGAGGGAGCGAGAGCGAGCGAGGAAAAGCGAGAGAGAGAGCGGGGAAGCGAGAGCGAAAGAGAGCGAGAAAAAGCGAGAGAGAGCGCGGGGAAGCGAGCGCGGGAAAAGTGAGAGCGAGAGCGAGAGAGAGCGTGGGGAAGCGAGCGCGGAAAAGCGAGAGAGAGTGCGGAAAAGCGAGCGAGAGGGAGTGAGTGAGAGAGAGCGAGAGAGAGCAAGAGCGAGCGAGAGGGAGCGAGCGAGAGCGAAAGCGAAAAAGCGCGCGAGGGAGAGGGAGCGAGAGCGAGCGCGGAAAAGCAAGAGAGAGCGCGGGGAAGCGAGAGCGAGAGTGAGAGAGAGAGAGGAAAAGCGAGTGGAAGATAGCGAGAGAGAGCGGGAAAGAGCGGAAGCGAGAGAGAGCGAGAAGCAAGAGAGAGCGAGAGAGAGCGGAAGCGAGAGAGAGCGAGAGAAAGCGGAAGCGAAAGCGAGTGGAAGCGAGAGCGAGCGTGGGAAAGTAAGAGCAAGAGCGAGAGAGAGAGAGAGAGAGAGAGGGAGAGAGAGAGGGGGGGGGGGGGAGGGAGAGAGGGGGAGAGAGAGAGAGAGAGAGAGAGAGAGAGAGAGAGAGAGAGAGAGAGAGACTCTTGCGTCCTCTGTTGCACCTCCTCCTTGCTGCTCCACCCTCCTTCCTAAGCAGTCGTGCCACCCGCTTTGTTGCCCCCTCACCTTTCCCTCCGTCCGGCTCACGTTGCCGACGTCCTCCTGTCTGCTTCTCTCCCGTCGCCCACTCCCCGTCTCCGGCTGTGCCGATTCCCCGATCCCGTTTCGTCGCACATTGACCGCTTTCCCATCCCCCTCCGTGCTTGCCCGTTGGGCCGGTCACGTCCGCTCATGGGCCCATCCGTTCCCGCTGTGCCGTCCTTTCGGTGCCTGCTCGCGACGCGCGCGGCCATCCAAGTCCACGACTTCGTGCTCATCCGCCCGTGCGCCTGCATTTTTCCGGCCGTCGGCCCCTGATCCACCAGTTCCCCCTTCGGCACTGCCCGTCACGGGTCCATGCGGAGGCACCCGGTTCCTGTTGGGCCCCACGCGCCAGAGACGACTGCGCTTATCTGGGTTGCAAGGTTTTCTTTCCTGTTCGGGAAATGTCGTGGACTTTAATCGAGGTTCTTGGGGGGGTGGGAAGGGTGCGGTCGCGGCTAGGAGACGGACCGGCAGTGCGCTAGGAGACGGACCGGTAGTGCGAGTGGTAGTCACAGGCTTTGGGCAATTGGTTGGTTCATCAGCTTCGTCGGGCTTGTGGGTTTTTTTTTTTTTTTTTTTTAATGGCTTTGGTCATTCCATTGAATGAATGAATGAATTTGTTTGAATGAATTTGACCGCTGCCAGGCAAGTGGGTTCATTTCTTTTATTTTTCCTCCTTTTTTCCTTCTTGTCCTGTCTTTCTTGATTGGACGTCGTTTGTGTCGTTTTACGGCACCACTTCAAATTATTTTTTTTTCTTTTTTTTTTTTTGTCATTCCTGATTTT